AGTTTTCTTCTAGTTACTGGCCTGTTTGTATTATACCATCCAGCCGATGTGTTGAAACTAAACAGGTAGCTATATTTGGGAGGGTCATATAACTATGTCAACAATGAGGTGGCTGTTAATTGGAAATAATAAGAAACTCTGCTGATTTTCACAAGCCCCTGTAAAGGGAGGAAAAGGCATCACACAGCCCAAACCCTGAGAACTCCCAGCTAAACTGGACTCTCCAGGAGTTTTAGTAATCCTTTCTTCCTCACAGGGATCTCACTGAGGGATTTCCGGAAGACTTTCTATTTGTTGAAGGTTTTGCTATCGAGGTCCACGCACTCGGGATGGCTTGCAAATCCCCGCCACCGCCACCCCGCCCCCGCCCAACCAAACTGCTGGCCTCAGATCGCGAGCTGCAAAGGAGGCCGGTCCCTCCGGCCAAGCTGAGCCTTTGCCCACCACCAGCTCAGAGCTCTCTCAGGCCCCTTCTCCAGTCGGCACCCCGGAACCAGGCTCCCCGAGTCTGCCCGCCCGGGGCTAGGCTACGGGACCCAAAGCCCAGGGCCAGCCGCAGCCGGATTGTCCCCAGGGAGCCGAAACCACCGATCGGGGAAACCCCTCCTCTTGCCCTTCCCCGAAGAGCCTGGCCGCGGCGTCAGCGCAGAGCGAGCGAGCGAGCGGGCGGGCGGGCGAGCGGGCATCTGCTGACAGCCGGGCCTCTCAGGAGGCCCACACGCGCCCCATTAGTCAGCTCGAGTTCCCCTCGGGCGAGCCGTCTGGCACGGCCTCAAGGCCCGGTTCGGGCAGGGAGGGGGTGCGGGGCTGCCGCGAGCTCCGCGGGACCTGGCCCGACTTGGTTCCGCGTTCCTGGACCCGTGGGGAAGCCGAGCCGGCGGGCCAGGCCGCTCCCTGGCGGGCTCCCGGCGCCGCCGAGCTGCGCTTCACGTGCCCGCCATAGCAGCGGCGCGGCGAGGAGGGGCGGGGAGGCGAGCGGCGGCTCCGGCGGGGTCCCAGACCCCTGCCTCCCCGTGGCGGAGCTGGCCGGGGACCACCCTGAAAGGCCCCATCTCGGCACAAGGTGAAGGCGACGTCGCCAGACGCCCAGAGGCTCTTAGGGCGCCGCTCGGAGCGCGGCGCGGCGCGGCGGCGGCGGTGGCTGGGGGAGGGTGCTCCTCGCGGCCGCGCCGGGAACTTCCCGGCCGCCCCGCCGCCGCAGTCACGGGGACCGGAAGCCCTCCCGCCACCCCGAACTGCCTGCTCTGGCCCCCAGGGCAGTTCCAGACGGGAGCTGGCCGCCCGTCATCCCAGATCCCTCCTGGCTCCCGGCGACTGTCCGCAGCCTGGAATATCCCCGTTTAAGCACGGAGAACCCTCCCCGCGGTCCGGTGAGACGTCCCCCAGTTACAACCACCACCAGCAGCAGCAGCAGCAGCAGCAGCAGCACCGCGTCTTCCCCCCTCCTCTCGGCCCCGCAGCTGGGACAGGAGGGGCGCGGAGCCGCCAGCCACTCCGGCCAGGCAGGAACACCTGCTCCGGGCCCTGCAGCTGGGCGCATGGTGCTGGGAAAAGCTGCCTACTGTTGTGTGCAGAGATCGCGGAACAGAAAATGGGGCTCCACAGCAGTGGGGTCGCATCCTGCCCCGTTTCCTACCCACTCTGGGCGGTCCAACCCAAAGCCAGAAGGCTTGCTGAGGGCACTGGTCTCCCTGAGGGTCTTAGGGCAACACCAGCTGACATCCAGCTTCTGGCCTTAAGGGTCGTTCGCAATCACATGGGGGCAAAAACCAGTTGTGGGGACCTTCCCCAGTGTCCCCCCGCCCCCCCTCCCGCCCCGCTCTTCAACCCAGACACTCATCTGCCCCACGCATTCTCGCCTCGTGCCGCGGACGGCAGTAGGTCAGGATGGCACCAGCATCTCCCCCCCTTTCCCGAGGGACAGAGAGTCTGGTACGGACCTCCGGCTTTGCCACTGCGCCTGGGGGAGGGCCACAGGGTCCTCCCCATCTTCTGGATGCCCGGGGTCGGGCGGCGGAGCTAACCTGCGTGGCTGTCCCAGCCTTCCCCCGCCCCCGTCCGGCCCTCTCCGACTTCCCTGGCCCAGGGCCCGGCCGGGGAAGGCGTTGTTTTGCCAGCGGGAGCCGAGCGAGTGCGCAGAGAAAAGCCACCCTGCTCTAATGAGAGTGCACACAGCGCTGCAGCGAGGAGGAGGATTACCCGGCGGGCGGGGGAGGGGAGCGCGGGCCGGGGCCGCGGGGCGGCGTGTGCGGCGGCCCCGCGGGCCCGGAGTCCCCGCCTGTCTGGCTGCTAATCGCACGCTTTCTGCTGTTATGGAGGCAGGCGGGAGCTGGCGGCCGAGCCCAGCGCCGGCGACTCGGCGGGTGACACGGAAACATGGCGCAGCGCCCCTCCCCCGCCCGCCCTCCCCGCGCTCCCGCCTCCCGCCTCGCACTTCCTCCCGCCCGCGCGGCTTTTGCAGTTCTAATGCTCTGCTTTCGGGCCTGGAACCATTACGCTAGCAGACGCTTCTCTGCGGCCTCGCGCGTCTCTTTCCCCTTTGTTTTCAGGGTCTATAGAAAAGGTTTGCTTTTGTCCCGAGCTCTCTCGTTAAACCAAACTTGTGGTGGCAACGGAAGGCAGTGCGGGCGGGGAGGGGCCAGGGGATTTTGGCAGCAACAGACCAAAGCGTGGTGGAAACTTCTCTTGCAGGGTTCCCCGCCACTGCCTTCCTACCCCCCACCCCCACTCACAGGCCAGCCGCCCCCGCCGACGCTTCTCTCTTGAGAGGCCCTGGGGTTCCAGAAAGGAAGCCTGGGCCACAGGGACTGTGACCACGGGCCTTCGAAGAGACCGGGGTTCCTGTCTGTGACCCCAGACTTTTGGCACTCGATGACCTTGCTCCTCGGCTGCTTTTTACTTGACTTGGCTCTCCTTGGGTCATTCGGAGCCCTGTATCTCAGTGGGTGGATAAAGAAGAGGAGCGGAGTGTTGTGTGTTGAGTGTGTGCTTCTTATTTGGAAAAGGCACGCTGTAATCTTACCCTTGACTGTAGGCCTCCTCTGTCGGGTCTGGGGCTGGACGAGGGAAGCACAGACTCAAAGGACAAATGATAGAAAGCCTACTCCCGGGACTGGCCACCTCACCCACACTCACTCAGCATGCCCCCTGGGAACGACCTTGCAGAGTGGGGGACCCGAGAACTACCTCCCACGCTTCAGGAGGTGCCAAACCTTCTTCTCTTTAGGCGAGAAATCTGGACAACCCCCTCTCCCCAGGGCGCACTCCCCAGACCCAGACCCACGCGTATGTTGTGGCTTTCTGCACTGGAGCTGCTCAGGCGGCAATTTTTTAAGCCTGCAATTAAGCGAGGCGTCGCCGTGTCCTCTGCTAGTGTCGCTCCTGTCAGTCGCACATGGCCTTGGTGCTCCGGTCCGAGGCCCCGCGATTAGTCACAGGCTCGCTTCGCTCCTTCCCTAATCCGCCTCTGCAGGCAGCCTGGGGACGCGGCCGACTAGGCGGCGCTGGCAGGGAGCCACCGCACGCGGGGCGGGCCTCCCGGTTAGTGCCAGCCCCACTGCACCCGAGCCAGCGCGGGCCCCGAGGTGCGGGATTGACGCCCCCCCCTACCGCCCCCTGGTGGGGCGCCGGCGTCCCTCCTCCTCCCGCCCCTCTCCTGGGCCTGCGAGATCTATTTGTGTGGTGTCATTTGCATAAAAATAGGACAAGTGTTTCAGTGCGTTCGAACGCGGGAGGCGAAATCCTTATTGATGTGTCTGTGTGGAGCCTCCGGTTGTCGGAGCAGTTTGATTTAGGGTGTTTGTGTTGCCTTCTACGAGAAATGAGAGGAAATCCTGTGCGACGCTCACGGCGCCCAGGGCCCCCTGGAGCATTCCCCTCCGCGCGGCCCGGAGGAGTGCATGGCTTGGGCCCAGCACACCAAGTCTACAACGGGCAGGTTGAGGGCCAGGCGGGCGGCCTATTATGACTCATAAAACCGGGCGGCCTAATCACCAGCTGCCAATCCCTTTACATGTGGCGCTTCCCAATGCACCCTCCTTCGTCCGGGCCGGGCCTCCCGCGGGTTCGCCGCGGACACGGCTAGAATCTCCCGGTGGAAGCTAACCAAGCGGTCGTTCCTTCCCGTCGGTAGCCTGGCTTCCCCTTCTAGGCGACCGCCGCTCTCTAGGCCTTTGCACCTCTTTCCAGCAACTCCTCAGCTTGGACAAATAGCTTGGGAGGGCGCCGGCCTCTCGGAGCCAGTAAATCAATCATTAACTCCCTAGCGAGGCCAGGCCAAGGGAGGGGGCGGTGGCAGAGCCCGGTGCGTGGGACTAGAGCAAGGCCCCCCTACCCTGGGCTGCGAGGCATCCCTGCGCCAGCGGGCAGGATGCTTGAAGACAGCTCCTCCAGGTCTTCTCGGTCTCCTCCAGAAGCCTTAGCCCGCTGGGCCTTTCAAGCTGCACGGCGCCTCGCCGGGCAGGTTGGGTTACTGCGCAGCCCCTTGGCTTCGGGCTTAGCAGCCTGCTGTCCCTAGGAGAGTGTGCCGTACTGGGGGCAAGTTCCCCGGGTCCAGCCGGGCTTCACGCGACTCCGGCTTTGCCAAAAACCTAGCTGATGAGTGGACCTGTCTCCCGAGGCATGCTCCTCTTGGAGCCCGCAGTGGATCTGGCACGCGAAGGGTTAAAAAGCCCCAGTTCGCCCTGGCTCCTCGGTTGCACAGAGGAAATGCTGATTAAAGTGCCTTACGGGGAAGGAAACACTCGCACACTCGGGGCTTGGGTCGAAGGAGACCGACTGGAGACGGCTCCCGAGTCGGCCGCCTCGAGCCGCTTCCCACACTCCCTGCAAGGCGGCGGCGGCCCGCAAGATTCACCCCGCGGAGCTCTGCGTGCAGGGGCTGGGGAAGGAGGAGGGACAAGGGGGCGGGAGGCGAGCCCGGGCTGCGCGCCAAGAGGCCCGGAGCCACAGATTAGTCACCGCTCGGCTCGGAGCTCACGGGTGCGCCGGGGAAACGGGAGGGCAGGCGGCGGCCCAGCTCAGCCGGCTCCCGGGGCCTCGGCGCCGCGGCCCCTACCCCCACCCCCGCGTGCGCCTGGCGAGACTCTCCGGGACTCTCCTAGCGGAGATCCACTTGTCAGTTCAAGGGCAGGACAGAAACTGCAAGCTGAGTCTTGTGAGCAGGAAATTTTTCATTGACAAGGTGCTACATCCCCCCCCCGCCCCCGCCGCGCGCATTCTCCCCCCACCCCGGCGCGCAACACGGCTTTAAAACAAAACCAAACCCCAGCGCGAGCAGCCGGCGTGCCCACTCGGCCTCGATCGCCTCGGTGTCTCCCGCCCCTTAGAGTCCCAAGCCCCGGGCCAGCACACTGGCTCAGCGGATGGGCTCGGCTAGGGGCTCCACGGAAGGCGCAATCATCCCCGCAGGACCCGAGCAGGGACGCCGGGCCCCGGAAGCCCTGCGTCTTCTCGGGGAGTGAACCGGGCAGATGAGCTTTGCGCTGGGTGGCCGCCGGGTCAACACTGTCTGCGGAGAGGGGGAGCTGGGAGGCCGCGGCGAATATCGCTGCGGGATCCTGGGAGGGCTGCGAGCTCGGCCTGGCAAAGTTCCTGTGGAAACTCCATGTTTTGAAACTCCAGTGGCGTTGCGGAAGGAGGGGGAGAGGGGATCGCGCCGAGCTCCAAGGGCGGCCAGCAGCCGCCTGGCGCTCAGGGGGAACCGGGCCCGCGCCTCTCCCTAGCCTACTGCAAGGCTGCAAGGCTGGACTGGGAGGGCCGAGCCCCTGGAGCAAAGTCTTTTGTGCATTCCCCCTTTCCTCCGCTCTCCAAGGGAAATTCATTAACCCGTTTTATTTACTGAGACGAAGGCTGCCTTTTTAGGGGCCCTGATATTCAGGGTAATTTCGTATTTGACACGTGTAAATACTTAGTACTCTCAGGTAAGGTCAAATTATTTATCATCTTAATTTATATTTCAATAGGCCTACAATTTAGAGTCGAGAAATGCCTCCTTATGAATCATTATGGTCTATTAGAGGAACTAATGTCTAAACAGCACTATTTGGGAGCGAATCACTTATGTTGACATTTAAATGGCTCTTCAATGGTTAAAAAAAAAAGAAGCATTCGAGTGCCTTTGATTAAATATACAATTTACAAGACCATCAGCAAAACCATCAGGACTGTAAATTCTAGGGATTTTTATTTATTTTCAATTTTTTTCCAAAGCCTTCCAGGACATATGTCATTTCCTATGGGAAAAAAAATTACACAAATTTCAGACAATTCTCCCCCCACACACATACACACTCAAACTAAAGTCTTATCACGGCCCCAAATCCTGTACCTTAGTGGCAAACTTAACCACTTTTTAGCACTGCAGCAGGTAACTTGTAAAAGCAGCTTACCTATCTTGCTGAAAGCCAACCACCCATCCTGATGTCACCACAGCACCCAGAACAGCCTTCTATTGCTTTAAAGTCGCCTCTACACCTGCTTAAATAAACCCCGGCCTCCTCTTAGCTGTTTCCCATCTCCAATTTTAAGACATCTTCATTAGGGCTCTGTAGTGTCCCTTTGCTCAAAGCATCTCCTGTGACGCAACATCTCTTTCAGGGCCACAGATTTGCTTCTTATGTGTCTGTTTTCCAAGCAGCTGGACCCCTTGAAAGAGATACCTACACCCATATAACATTTTTCATTTCATTCTTCCTTCCTTCCTTCCTTCCTTCCTTCCTTCCTTCCTTCATTCATTCATTCATTCATTGTGAGACAGAGTCTCTACATAGCCCTGGCTGTACTGGAACTCACTATGTAGACCAGGGCAGCCTCAGAGATCTGCCTGCCTCTGCCTCCTTAGTACAGGGATTAAAGGCCTGGGCCACACCAGGCTGATTTCCTTACTCTTATTTACTGGTTTTGAAGTTCATTTTCTTTCTTTCTTTCTAATGAAGATACTGGTTAAGCACAGCTTTGGGTATAAAAGCATAGGATTCCAAACAATGTAATTAATTGTTCATCAGCAATTTGGATAGCACCTGCATCAAACGTTCTGCTCTGTTTACTGACAGGGAAAACTTCAGGGTCCGTGGTTAAAGAAAGAAACAGGCACAGGGCTGTGTGCATATTATGTTGCAGTTCTTGTTTTGTTTTGTTGTTTGTTTTGTTTTAAGCATGGGTTAGGGAGCTTCCCCCAAGTATCCTGTGCTTCCCCTGGGGGTGGATTATAGATCTCTAACAGTGCCTGTGACCCAAATTTATTTGCATAAACTGTTCTGTGCTTTATCCAGGAAAACTTATTGCTACATCTTGCAGCTGCCAATATGGGTGTGTGTGGGGGGGGGGAGGTCCTGTTAGGTTACACAAGCTGAAGTCTAATTCCTGACTTCAAGCAATCCTCCGGTATCAGCCTTCCAAACAGCTGGATTTACAGGTACAGACAGTTAGCAGATGACTTTCTATCAGCATAGGGAAATGGTCCTTGTTTGTGCCAAAGTTCATGGAACTTCATTGTATAACACATCATCATTCATCACACTATTTTACCCATCCTCCCTAGGTATTCTGTAGAAAGTACTGGGAACCAGATACTCCCTTCAGGCTGAGTCCGGGAGTGTTTGTTTTGTTTTGTTTTTGAGACAGTGTCTCTACATAATCCTGGCTGTCCTGGAATTCACTCTGTAGATGAGGCTGGCCTTGAACTCACAGATTTCCCTGCCTCTGCCTCCTGAGTGCTGGGATCAAAGGTGTGTGCCACCACCCAGCTTTTTCAATCGTTGTCTTCCTTCACCTCCCAGAGGCACTTAGCACCCCTTAACCCCAATCCCCAACACAGGGGTTTTGTACAGGCTGGGAGTCACTTTCAATTTCTTTCTGGGCACGTGTCTGCTCCTGCAGTGATCTTGGGCCTGGATACTCCCCTCCACTTTGGCAAATCTCATCTGTTTATGGCTTTAAATACCTCTCACTTGATGATTCTTGCTTTTTTTGTTTGTTTGTTTTCCTTCAAGTTCCAGGCCCCCATATCAAACTGCACAGCAGATATCTCACCTTGGCATCCATATTCAGCTGAGGAGCCACAGCTGGCCTTTACACGCTGGTTTTAAGGTAAGAAAGCACATGATATAAATTGTCTATGAATTCCTGCAACCAGTAAGGTAGGGAGCTACCGCTCCTGGGTCACAGATGAAAAACTGAAGTGAAGGACTTCAGAACACTCACAGGAACCTGTGTCCTGTGCCAATAGGATTCAAATACAGGCAGTCCTCAGTCTGGAGTCCCACGTTCTTTTTTTTTGGGGGGGGGGGGTTTCGAGACAGGGTTTCTCTGTGTAGCTTTGCGCCTTTCCTGGAACTCACTTGGTAGCCCAGGCTGGCCTCAAACTCACAGAGATCAGCCTGGCTCTGCCTCCCGAGTGCTGGGATTAAAGGCGTGCGCCACCACCGCCCGGCCCCACGTTCTTAATCACCCCCGCTACACAGACCTACACAAAATCCTACACAAGAATAGCCCTTCTTTCTACCTTCTACCTTGCTGCCCTGCAGCACTCTGGCAAACAGAACTAATTCTACTTTTCAGTATTCTACCTAGATTTCAACCTTTCCCATCAACTATAGGCCAGGCTCTTGCCTGGATTCCCTAGGGTTTTAATTCCAGGTACCATTTTTCATGCTCCTCCAATCCATCCTCCACATAGCAGCCAGACAGGCCTTTTTGCAACATGTCCCATCTGGTCTTGGTGGTGATCACCTGCAATCCCAGTATTTAGGAAGTAGGAAGGATTATGAGTTCAAGGCCAGGCTGGGCTACATAGGAAAATCAGGTTTCAAAAGATGAACCAACTAGGTGCTGGTGAGATGGCTCAGCAGCTAAAGGTGTTTGTCACCAAGCCTAACACCCTGGGTTCTAGTCCCATGACCATTGTGGTGGAAAGAAGAACTGACTTCCCGAAAGTTGTCCTCCGACCTCCACTGTGCTGCACTGCACTTGCGCTCAGGGACACATACGCAAATAAGTGAATTTTCAAAATTAAAAGCAAACACACAGCATGTCACATATCTCATTAGTTCCCATCATACTTGAAACAGAATTCAAATTTCTTAGTCAGGTGTGTGGTCACATCTGTAACATCAGTTGTTGGGAGGGGGAAACAGGAGGACCTCTAGTTTGAAGCCAGCCTGAGCTATGTATCGAGTTCCAGTCCAGGTTGGACTGCACAGTGGTCATGTCTTGAAAAACAAACCAACAAACCTGAATTCTCTGACCTAGCAACTTATTCTCTACCATTTCACTGCTTGCCAGTTTAACTCATCATCTGAGCAGGCCTACTGTTAGCTCCTGACTAGGTTCTTTCTGTTGCTGTTTTCCCAGACTGTGTCTTCCTAGAACCTGTCATGATACCCAATCTATATATATATATATATATATATATAGAGAGAGAGAGAGGGAGAGAGAGAGATTAAAAATGAAGGAGTAAGATGAGAATGGTGTGCACTTGAGAAGCAGAGATGGGTATACCACAGGTATATCGAAAGTTCAAGGCCAGCCAGGTCTACATAAGTAGACCTTGTCTCAAACAAAAGCTGGGAATGTCACTCAGTTGGCACAGTATAGTGCCCCAGTTCTATTCCCAGCAACCCAAGCAACATGCTTTAAAAAATTGGGTGTGGCACACTCCTGTAATCCCAGCACTCTAGAGGTGGATGCTGGAGGATCAGAAATTCAAGGTCTCTTTAACCTCAGCATTCCAGAGGCAGAGGCAGGTGTATCTCTGTGAGTTTGAGGCCAGCCTGGTCTACAGAGTGAGTGCCAGGACAGCCAAGGTTACAGAAAGAAACAATGTCTCAAAAAACCAAAAACAACAACAACCCCCCCCCCAAAAAAAAAAAAACACCCAGAAAAAATCAAGGCCAAAATTCTCAGCTGCATAGGAAGCTGGAAACCAGCCTGGGCCACATGAAACTCTGCCTCAATAAAAACAAAGACTCAGTGTGATGATGCACTTACAAGGTGGAGGCTGGTGACCCAGCCTACACAGTGAGTTCCAGGCTGACATGGTGAGACTTTGTCTCAAAAACATAAATGAAAGAATGAGTGAATGTAACATAAGTGAATGAGTGGAATGAATGACTGAATGCCTGATACATTGTTATTCTGTAGCACGGTCAGAATTTTAAAGCAAGTTCAAGAGAGCAAGACAGCTGTAGGAGTGCTAACGTGCAGGGAGTGGGTCTGTGGTTCTGGGGAAGACCGAGGCAGAAGGAATTAGGCAAGTGAAGTTCAAGGCAAGAAGTGGTAATACCATCTGGAAAGACCCACGGGAGCACGAGATGAATATACCCAGCTCTTTGCTGGTCAGAGGAGCCAAGTGACTTACTTGGGTGTGCATGTTTCTGGGAGGCCCTGAGAGTCAGTCTTCTCATCCCCTGGGGGTGATAGCAGGGGCCCTTAACCAAGAGCAAGACAAAATCAAACGCAGAGACCTCTTCAGTGTGCCTTGTCTATCCCTGGCCACCCAAGACAGGGTCTCCCTGTACAGTCCAGGATTACAGGGTGCACCACCGTGCTCAGCTAACTCAGCTGCTACCTGGTGCCCCAAAATGTAGGCTCTTCCTCCTCAAGACCCTCAGGAGCCATCAGTGTGGCTCTGGTCATAACCGGCACTGGGCCATTGAGGTTTTTCTCCCAGTTCCACGCCTTTGACCCCCTAACAGGAACTGTGTCACTGGGCTATGCTTCATAGCAAGCGAGTCTGTTTGAATAATTCGTCCAGGATAAAAATAGCTACTGTTTATTGAAGACCTTCGCTCCCTTCCAATTCTTTACTAGGTACATTTCCTTGCAAGCTCACTATGCCCCCTAATAACCCTGTGGCTACACACTACCATCTACTTTATAGCCGAGGAAACTAAAGGTCTTAGAATCCTCCCCCACCCCCCGGGCCCACAAAAAAAAAAAAAAAAAAACCAACTGTGTATGGCTAATCTAAGAAAAGTGTGTGGTGGCCACAGGGATCCTCCTAACTTCACACCCCTCTGGCATGCTTTAACACAGAGTAAGTATATGGCTTCTCAGCCATGCATCTGCACCGTTTCCTCAAACCAAGTGCCTTCGGGGGCCAAATCCTACATAGCTTCTCCAATCACATCTTTCTTGGGTCATCTGGCCACTTACCAGCTGCTGAAATTATCATATAAGGAGTTTCTTTCCTTCCAGGATCAGCGGGTGTCAACTGATCCACCCTGTTCACCATGGGAACCTGAGCATTTATCTCCATGAAGGGTGCCTTCCTCCCAGGGAAGCCTTGGAAACCGTGGGGCCAGGAAACTCAAGGCAAAGACTTACTCCTCAGACAAAGCAACCAGACCCTGGCAAGGAGTTGGAAAAACCTCTCTGTGCTCCTAGCCATACTAAACTGTGGCTCTGCAGTGGATCATATTATGACCTGCCTCGCCTTTTCCGACTCCTGGGCGAGTTTCTCGGATTTTGAGCTTGCCTTGAACATCACTCTTGGGGCTGGCTGCAGATCCAGCTTATCAGCAGAGTGCTTACGGAGCATGTGTGAGACCCCTAGGTTCCATTTATAGCCCTACAAAGAAGCAAAAACTCCCCGTGCCCTCCGCCCCCCCCCCGTCCCCCGACACACACACACACACACACACACCAGAGAGAGAGAGAGAGAGAGAGAGAGAGAGAGAGAGAGAGAGAGAGAGAGAGAGAGAGATATGCTATGGGAAGGCGTCCCCATGCCCCTTCCACTCAATTCCTCTCCTGAAGTTACAGAGCTTTGGAGATCTGGGGAGCAGATTAGCTTTCTTCAGCTCTTAGAACAATAGCTAGAGTTTACTAAGGGCTTTCTATCTGACAAACACAGTATAGACTGATCTTGTTCCTTATAGAAAACTATCATCACCATTTCAAAGACGAGGGAAGGAGACCTAGACACTAAACATGACTGTTTGCCTGGATACTCACCACCTGATTTCCCCCAAACCCAACTGCTACCCAAGTCATCACTGCCCCTGCCCTCATGGTGGGGGGCATGGGCAAGTACACGGCATACCTTCTAGGATCTATGGACAGCTTCATTCTTTGGCCAATTCCCTGTGCTCATCATAAACAGGCTCTGATGACAATGTCCTTCACTGCATCCTGCCACACAAATGATGTCCCCTAAGGACATCATTGTCCTGCGGTGAATTTATCTGCTAGGTCCCTAAGAGAGGGCTTCCCCCACCCCTCTTGTGGCTTGTAAAGCCAAGGATAAAGCTGGCAGCAAGTCCAGAATGAAGGCTGGGATGCCTTCATGGGTTCAGTGCCAGTGGCTACACTGGGACCTTCCTGGCCTGCTGACTGGCACAGGGAGTTTGGAGGCGAGATAAATCTGGAAGATAATTTAGCTCCTGTCTTTTCTGAACCAGCCATGGTCCTCTTCTCTAGGTCTGCTGGCGATGGATGATTAACGTCGAATGCATGCTTTCTCTCCTCCTCTCCTCTGCTTCTTCCTTTCTTTGGGGTTATTTTCCAATGGCTGCTACAGTTTCTCTTCAGAGTACCCGCGCAGAGCGTGACCCGAATGCTGCTCTGAAGGGGTCCCAGGTGGCAGATGGCACCAGATTACTCCTATAGGAGCCCCTGCTACTGTTTAGAGTTCAAGGCTAACCCGCCACTGCCATCAATTGAGGCCTAATCCTTTAATTATTCTCAAAATGCCAAAAATAAAGATTGCAAGGAAGGCAATTAATAGGATCATCCGGTGTATTCCTCATTTGTAATTATATATTATTATTTTCCTCCCTACTTTGTTCCAATAATGATTTAAGGCTGCTTCCAAAGATACACAAATGCAAGCAAAGATAAATAAAAGGAGTGGGACGTGAATTACAATGTCATGCCTGCTCGAGACATCTTTGCCCCATCTACATAAGAGAGCTGAATTCATAATGCCTTTCAAAAATGAGGTAATTTCGTTCTTTCAGTGGCAACACTAGGCTCTTTGTCAAGAGAAAGGGTATTACACTGTCTGGAAAGAGCTTGGGGAGGACAGGGGTCTGGTTGGCAAGGCTGGTTGTGCCAGTGTGCGATCTTAGACAAGTTGTTTGTGTTGGTATAACAAAATACCTGAGATTGAGCATTTTATAAAGTGAAGAGGTTTATTTGGCTCACAATTCTGGTGCCTGGAAGTTTCCAACAGCATGGCATTGGTGTCCTGGTGAGGGGCCCCTGGCTGCAGGACAATGTGGCAGAGAGGATAGAAAACATGAATGACAATGTGGCAGAGAGGATAGAAAACATGAATGACAATGTGGCAGAGAGGATAGCAGCTTCTTAGAGAAGGGGACAAGAGAGTCAGGTAATGACTTCTGCTTTGCAACAACCCAATTTCAGGAAAGCTAATCCACTCCAGAGAGATTGCATTAGCCTCTTAAGAAGGGCTGCTAGGACCCAGTCACCTAATCACCTCTTAACCAGACCCCACCCCCTAAAGTTGCCAGCACCTCAACACTACTAGAGAGCAAGCTTTCAGCATGTGAATCCGTGTGTGTGTGTGTGTGTGTGTGTGTGTGTGTGTGTGTGTG